GGAACGGTAAAAACAAATTCTAAGGAATCAAAAAAAGTGAAAAATTGGATCTATATCCAACGAATCACATCCGCCAAGAAAAAGTATTTTGTTTTGGTTCGACCAGTAATCATATATGAGATAGCGGACGGTATAAATTTAGAAACACTTTTCCCCCAGGATCTATTGCAGGAAAAAGAGAATCTGAAACTTCGAGTTGTCAATTATATTCTTTATGGAAATGGTAAACTAATTCGGGGAATTTCTGACACAAGTATTCAATTAGTTCGTACTTGTTTAGTGTTGAATTGGGACCAAGACAAAAAAAGTTCTTCTATCGAAGAGGCTCGCGCTTCTTTTGTTGAAGTAAGCACAAACGGTCTAATTTGTGATTTCCTAAGAATCAACCTAGCGAAATCCCATATTTCATATATCAGTAGAAAAAGGAATGATCCATCAGGTTCAGGACCGATCTCTAATAATGAGTCAGATCGAACCAATATTAATCCATTTTATCCCATTTATTCCAAGACAAGGATTCAACAATCACTTAAACAAAATCAAGGAACTATTAGTACGTTGTTGAATAGAAATAAGGAATGTCAATCTTTGATAATTTTGTCATCATCTAATTGTTTTCGAATGGATCCATTCAGCGATGCAAAACATCACAATGTAATAAAAGAATCAATTAAAAGAGATCCTATACCTATAATTCCAATTAGAAATTCATTGGGCCCTGTAGGAACAGCCCTTCCAATTGCGAATTTTTATTTATTTTACCTAATATTAATAACTCATAATCAGGTCTCGTTAACTAAATATTGGAAACTTGACAATTTAAAACAGACTTTTCAAGTACTTAAATATTATTTAATGGACGAAAACGGGAGAATTGTTAATCCTGATTCATGCAGTAACAGCGTTTTGAATCCATTCAATTTGAATTGGTATTTTCTCCATCATAATTATTATCATAATTTTTGTGAAGAAAGATTTACAACAATTAGCCTGGGACAGTTTATTTGTGAAAATGTATGTATGGCCAAAAACGGACCCCATCTAAAATCGGGTCAAGTTATAATTGTTCGCATGGACTCGGTAGTAATACGATCAGCAAAGCCCTATTTGGCCGCTCCAGGAGCAACCGTTCATGGCCATTATGGAGAAATCTTTTACGAAGGAGATACATTAGTTACATTTTTATATGAAAAATCGAGATCTGGTGATATAACGCAGGGTCTTCCAAAAGTGGAACAAGTGTTAGAAGTGCGCTCAATTGATTCAATATCGATAAGCCTAGAAAAGAGAGTTGAGGGTTGGAACGAGTGTATAACAAGAATTCTTGGAATTCCTTGGGGATTCTTGATTGGTGCTGAACTAACTATAGTGCAAAGTCGTATCTCTTTGGTTAATAAGATTCAAAAGGTTTATCGATCCCAAGGAGTGCAGATACATAATAGGCATATAGAAATTATTGTACGTCAAATAACATCCAAAGTTTTGGTTTCAGAAGACGGAATGTCAAATGTTTTTTCACCCGGAGAACTAATTGGATTGTTGCGAGCGGAACGAACGGGACGCGCTTTAGAAGAAGCCATCTGTTATCGAGCCATATTATTAGGAATAACGAGAGCATCTCTGAATACTCAAAGTTTCATATCCGAGGCCAGTTTTCAAGAAACTGCTCGCGTTTTAGCAAAAGCCGCTCTCCGCGGTCGTATCGATTGGTTGAAAGGCCTGAAAGAAAACGTTGTTCTAGGTGGTATGATACCCGGTGGTACCGGATTCAAAGGATTAGTGCAAGGCTCAAGGCAACATAATAACATTCCTTTGAAAACCAAAAAGAAGAATTTATTCGAGGGGGAATTTAGAGATAGAGATATTTTATTCCACCACAGAGAGTTATTTGATTCTTGCATTTCAAAAAATTTCTATGATACAGCAAAATAATCATTTATAGGATTTAATGATTCCTAAGAGCGGATTCATCTTTTTATTTTAACTAACGTAACGGCGGTCCTGTGATTTGTTCCATGTGATTTTTTTTTATTTAATAGTAATAAAGAAAATAAGGAATAGAAAGAAATGAATCGCTTGGATCGTATATCAACGTCCAATCTCCGGGAAAAGAGAAGGTTCCGTCGGAACAATTATTTATTTCAGGGTACCCCCTCTCTCTTTTTTCTTTGAAAAAAAAAGAGAGAGAGGAAGTGTGGGGAGAAATGATAAGAAGATATTGGAACATTAATTTGGAAGAGATGATAAAAGCAGGAGTTCATTTTGGTCATGGTACTAGAAAATGGAATCCGAGAATGGCACCTTATATCTCTGCAAAGCGTAAAGGTATTCATATTACAAATCTTACTAGAACTGCTCGTTTTTTATCAGAAGCTTGTGATTTAGTTTTTGATGCAGCAAGCAGGAGAAAACAATTCTTAATTGTTGGTACAAAAAATAAAGCAGCGGATTCAGTAGCGCGGGCTGCAATAAGGGCTCGGTGTCATTATGTTAATAAAAAATGGCTTGGCGGTATTTTAACGAATTGGTCCACTACAGAAACTAGACTTCAAAAGTTCAGGGACTTGAGAATGGAACAAAAGGCAGGTAGACTCAACCGTCTTCCGAAAGGAGATGCGGCTCGATTGAAGAGACAGTTAGCTCACTTGCAAACATATCTGGGCGGGATTAAATATATGACGGGGTTACCGGATGTTGTAATAATCGTTGATCAGCAAGAGGAACATACGGCTCTTCGGGAATGTATCACTTTGGGAATTCCAACGATTTGTTTAATTGATACAAACTGTGATCCGGATCTCGCAGATATTTCGATTCCAGCGAATGATGACGCTATAGCTTCAATCCGATTAATTCTTAATAAATTAGTATTTGCAATTTGTGAAGGGCGTTCTAGCTATATACGAAATCCCTGATTAATAATAAGATAAATAAATTATTTTGTGAACTCCATAGATTTATGGAATCGGTTACTATTCCGGAATCGTACAAAAGAGATAAAAATAACTGGGTATATTATGCGATTTATTGGTATCTAAAAAATACAATTTAAGCGGGCAAGTCGAAAAAAAAGATGGTTGAATCAAAATAATTCCTTTTAAAGTTTTCTTTCTTTCAGAGGGCAATATGAATGTTCTATCATGTTCCATAAACACACTAAAAGGGTTATATGATATATCCGGTGTGGAAGTAGGCCAGCATTTCTATTGGAAAATAGGAGGTTTCCAAGTCCATGCCCAAGTACTTATTACTTCTTGGGTTGTAATTACTATCTTATTAGGTTCAGCCATTGTAGCTGTTCGGAATCCACAAACCATTCCGACTGGCGGGCAGAATTTCTTCGAATATGTCCTTGAATTCATTCGGGATGTGAGCAAAACTCAGATTGGAGAGGAATATGGCTCATGGGTCCCCTTTATTGGAACTATGTTTTTATTTATTTTTGTTTCTAATTGGGCTGGGGCGCTTTTGCCTTGGAAGATCATAGAGTTACCTCATGGGGAGTTAGCCGCACCTACGAATGATATAAATACTACCGTTGCTTTAGCTTTACTTACGTCAATAGCATATTTTTATGCGGGCCTTAGGAAAAAAGGATTAGGTTATTTCAGCAAATACATTCAGCCAACTCCAATCCTTTTACCCATTAACATTTTAGAAGATTTCACAAAACCTTTATCACTTAGCTTTCGACTTTTCGGAAATATATTAGCGGACGAATTAGTAGTTGTTGTTCTTGTTTCTTTAGTACCTTCAGTGGTTCCTATACCTGTCATGTTCCTTGGATTATTTACAAGCGGTATTCAAGCTCTTATTTTTGCAACTTTAGCCGCGGCTTATATAGGCGAATCCATGGAGGGGCATCATTGACTAATTTTCGAAATAGCTTAGTGCAAGGCAATCTATGCCTTGTTCAAGATAATCTACTTATACTTAATGAACATAAATTACTTAATCAACATAAATAGATCAACATAAATAGACAAAAAGGTCTATACGATCTAAAGGAATAATAATAAAAAAAAAGATTACGATATTAGGGAATTGTAAAAAAAAAGGGAAAGAGATCTAAAAAAAGATCTTTTTCCTAGAATTCCTTTTGATCATTTATACCTTCTTCCAATGAATATTCTCTTCTTTATATTGTCTTGATTTTTTTGTTCATTCAATTCCAATCTTAGGAGTAATAATCTGAATAAAAATTCTTTATTTGTTTACAACGTGTGATTAAAAAAAGAGGTTCTGTTCTATAGGGCGATTTCCATTTCAGTCGTTTTATTCAATTCAACGATTGATCAAAAAAAATTTTTCAAATTTTAAAATTTTAATAAATAATAAATTACAGGAACTTAGATCAACCAAAACCAAAGACTTCTATTTCTATGCAATGATTCAGACTAATGAATTCGCCCATTTAGATTGATTGTATCCATGTGGGATAATGATAAGGAAGAGAAGAATTTACAAAAAATGAGATTCAGAAAAAATGGATTGTTTAGGAAAGTGGAATCCAACTAGGTGTATGTAATATATATAATGGCTATAAGACAACTTTCTTTTGTGAATATTTTTCAAAATCAAAAAATGATTTTAGAATCCGATTGAATCTAAGATATGAATAGTTGGTTTACGTTATGGAAGAAGGACGTGTATATGTAATGTTAAGTATTACCCAGTTATATATGATATGAGTTAAAAGATATATCTAATCCGCCCTACTACTGGAGATTTAGATAAGGATTCCAATAAAAATCTTTCCTTTTCGTTTGTAACTGTGAATTGAATATTGAATAAAGAGATTAAATCAAGAAAAAGAACGAAGAGTTTGAATTCAAAGAATAATTCGGAACAAAGAAAGAAATGGAAAAACAAAAAAATTGTATGAATTCACAAAAACTTTGTGGATAGGAACTAAAAAATAGATATCGAAGTAGTTCTGATGATTCAATAATATTATTATTTCTATTTCAATTCGGAATTTTTAATTACTTCGACTGGATGAAAATCTTATTGATGGAATGAATAATTAAGTCATAATTTATTGGTTGATTGTATCATTAACCATTTCTTTATTTTATTTTGGTGCGAGGAACTTATCATGAATCCATTGATTTCTGCCGCTTCCGTTATTGCTGCTGGGTTGGCTGTTGGGCTTGCTTCTATTGGACCTGGGGTTGGTCAAGGTACTGCCGCGGGCCAAGCTGTAGAAGGTATCGCAAGACAACCCGAGGCGGAGGGAAAAATACGAGGTACTTTATTGCTTAGTCTGGCTTTTATGGAAGCTTTAACAATTTATGGACTGGTTGTAGCATTAGCACTTTTATTTGCGAATCCTTTTGTTTAACCCTATAAAATATAAAAAAAAAATACGTATTTTTTTATTGCCTTGGACTTGCTGCTTGTTTTTTCGAATTATATCAAGATTTCATTCCTACAATCAATTACTTATTTATTTTTATTGGGACAATAACCCACGGGAAGGACTGATTTGAGGATGAGGAATTAGTATATTAACTCGCTTTCTTCCTTCCCCCTTCTTAATCCAATCGAAACCCTTTTTTTTAAGAAATATTGCAACAGGATATATTATTTTGTTTTGCAATTGACGGGAGACCAGGTACCGAATTCTAAACTGAATTTTAATAAGAACAATACTTATTAGAGATTTCCAATTGAAAAAAAATTCATTTCTCAAAATCAAATATATTTTTTATTTTACTCTTTTTAGAAATATAATAGCTAATTAGAAATATAATAGCTAAATGAACAAAAAATAATAATAATATATAATAATAATAATATATATAATAAAAAAATAAAAAATAAAAAATAATATATATAATATAGAATATATAATATAGAAAAAATATATATAATATAGAAAATAGAAAAAATCTATATTCTATATAAAAATCTATATATATATATAGAATATAGAAATCTATATATATATATAGAATATAGAAAATATATAGAATAAGAAAAAAAGATAATAATTCGTCTGTCTATAGTCTATAAGAAAAGAGGAGATTATATGAAAAACGTAACCGATTCTTTCGTTTCCTTGGGTCACTGGCCATCCGCCGGGAGTTTCGGGTTTAATACCGATATTTTAGCAACAAATCCAATAAATCTAAGTGTAGTCCTTGGTGTATTAATTTTTTTTGGAAAGGGGGTGTGTGCGAGTTGTTTATTTCAAGAATAGGCTGGATTGACCCAGCTGCGCTTTTTTCGTTTTAACTAGGAAAGACAAGGTGCATGATCCTGCGAATTACTTCTGAATAAATTAAGAAATCATCTTTAAGAACCATAGCAGTTCGTGATTCATGGGTAAATATACTTTGATTCTCTATCAACCAATAACGTGGGACCATTAACATGGTTAAAGCTAAATTGTTTGAAGTCTAGACGCAGCAAGGTACTCTTTCTACTACTATGGTTAATATAAAAATGAAATGGGTTCAAAATAAATGAAATAGTTTTCGGTATAGAACACTCATGTCGAAAAAAGGATTTGAACCCCTTTTTTTTTAATGGGTATTTCGCCCATTCTTATTCAATGCTGAGTCGATAACCTATGCATTAAAGTAAATTCTTTGGATTTGAATTTGAAGAAAAAAAAAAAAGAAACAACTTTACTGACAATTACTTGTTTGGTCAGAAGAGTCCTCCGAATATTCCGGTCTTGGATTAGTGATTAGTTTCAATATTTTTTTTTGGAATATGAATTATGAATAAAGAAGAGAGGATAGGCTCATTTCAGTCAAAAAAGATATGGGAATTTTCCCATAAGTAATTGAAAAAAAAATGGAGCGTGAGAGCCAAATGAATCGAAAGATTCATGTTTGGTTCGGGAAGGGATCATGGAAGTTTTGCAATGAATGGAAAGATAATCTACTTTCATTAAGTGATTTATTAGATAATCGAAAACAAAGGATTTTGGATACTATTCGAAATTCAGAAGAACTACGTGAGGGGGCCATTGAACGGCTGGAAAAAGCCCGGGCCCGCTTACGGAAAGTGGAAATAGAAGCAGATCAGTTTCGAATGAATGGATACTCTGAGATAGAACGAGAAAAATCGAATTTGATTAATTCAACTTCTAAGACTTTAGAACAATTAGAAAATTACAAAAACGAAACCATTCATTTTGAACAACAAAGAACGATTAATCAAGTCCGACAACGGGTTTTCCAACAAGCCTTACAAGGAGCTCTAGGAACTCTGAATAGTTCTTTGACCAACGAGTTACATTTACGTACCATCAATTAGTCCTTCTACTGTAGGCATTATTCCCCCCCCCAAAAAAAAAAAAAATGAAGAAATACTCATGGTAACTATTCGAGCCGACGAGATTAGTAATATTATCCGCGAACGTATTGAACAATATAATAGGGAAGTAAAGATTGTAAATACCGGTACTGTACTTCAAGTAGGCGACGGTATTGCTCGTATTCATGGTCTTGATGAAGTAATGGCAGGGGAATTAGTAGAGTTTGA